TCTCTTTCTCCCCCCCTCTCTCTCTCTCTCTCTCTCTCTCTCTCTCTCTCTTTCTTTCTCTCTCTCTCTCTCTCTCTCTCCCCTCTCTCTCCCTCCCCCCTCTCTCTCTCCACTCCCCCTGCTCCGTGAACAACAGCATGAAGCAGCTGGTTGAGTACAAACTCCGTTACACTTAACCCTGAATAATTGGTCGCAGGTAAGAACAAAGCGACTTACTCAGGGGTTTCAGGGGTTCCCAGAAATCTCAACCTACACCAGAAGTGGGCATTGCCCTACCTATAGGAGAAGTTTTGTTTCTTTGGTGTGTATATTTGTTTGGTTGGGGAGAACATCTCCTTGTCTTTTAAAGAAAATGAACAAAGGGCACAAATTTTTCTTTCGATTTCCTCAAAACAGAATGTTTCTGGATTGCCCCCTTGCTCTTAAAATTAAAACGACCAATTCTATCATCATCATCATCATCATCATCATCATCATCATCATCATCATCAAGAGCCAGATCTGCGACATACATTGGTGATCATGGTTCTCCATTCATTCCTTTGCTCGAATGTTGTAAAAAAAAAAAAAAACCCGCAACATTATCCAGATCTTTCCCCGTCCCCCATTTATTAAGGCTCTCCAAATAGGTTGCTCTGGGTCTACCTCTGCCTCTTTTGCCTTCCATTTTGCCCGTGAGAGCTAGATGTTCAAGACCTTTATGTCTATCCAGATGTACCCAAAACTGCATTTTTCTTTTCCTGATTGTTTTTATTAACGAGGAGCCCACGTGGGCTTCATCAAGTACTACCTCGTTTGACTTATTTCCTTTCCAATGTCATTATCAACAATCTTCTAAGAAACAACATTTCTGTTGCTTTTATTTTCTTTTCACTTTCTTTAAAATGATGGTCAGCATTCACAGCCGTGTGGAGAAGAGTCAACCACACAAAGCATACACAATGTTCATCTATTAAACAAGTTTCCAGAACACCATTATGTTCTCAAAACGAGGTGACCAGACCCTCACGTGCGCTTGAACCTGTGATCCTTTTTTTGAGCGGGAAACCTTACCGGTTAATCGGATCTATGATTCAGCCCTTTTAGTTAGCCCGGCTCTCCTTGCCACATACATAGCACGCGCGCACGCGAGTGTGTGTGTGACTGTGTGTACGAGAGTTGTTGGTGTTGGTTCGTTGTATGGTGAAACCCGTGAAACTTCGCACGCTGTTTCTTTCTTCCCGTCTGTCTCTGCTGTCATTGGGCAATTTCAAGTGGCAGCCGGACACACACACACAGACACACACACACACACACATACACACACACTTGTGTATAACAATCTACATGCACGTATAAATGTACATGGAGATACAAAATGTGTATACAGCACGACATGCAGACATACACATACGCACACGTAGATCTACACACACTCCGTGAAACGATATGAGAGAAAGAGAGAGAGAAAGAGAGAGAGGGTCACAACAATTGTTGTTGTGAATGCAAAAGGAGATCGAGTGTTTGCGAACATTAACTGAACCATGAAGGGCAGACGCATCTTTTAAGAGAGAGACAGGGAGACTTTTTGCAGTACCAACACTCACAGTGTAGGAAGGAGAAGAAGCATAGTCTCTCGTGGCACCAGTGAACGACAGACAGGCAGGCAGATGTTCTCGTCTCTTTGTTTATTCTTAGAACAAAGCCGAGACACTGCTGGTCTCCGAGGAGAAGAAGAAAAAAGAATCCCAAGAATCCCAACTTTCTCATCGTTAGGCCTTGGTTCCTTTCGATTTAGAAAAGCTTTGTGTATGGCTACGTTTACATGACCGCGAAGGACCCGAGTGAGTCTATTATGTAAAGACAGACGACTGTGGATGCGTTGAGCGTGTGAATCGAGCCTTTCGTGGATTTCATTGGCGGGTCTCGTGTTTTGTCAACATCAACAAACTAGACGTCGAGGGCCACCGATTCACGTGGAGCTTTTGTCGCTGTTAGATCTCTGTTGTGCTTCATTTCCCGCTAGATCTTGTTTCTCGTCCTCTCAAAGATTTATATTTTACGGTGTTTTGATTCTAATTCAAAAACAGTTATTTCTCGCTAGATCTTGTAGTATCCATTCAACTCACTGACCCTGATACTCCCATCGTTTACGCCCAAAAAAGTTTGATTTTTTACGTTGTTTTTGATGATTCTATAATCACGGGTGTTCAGAAGTGAGTATTTAGTTATCGAAGACGGTACATAGATAATTCGTCGACCCTCCCCCCGCTTTTGTGCATTGTTCTGGAGTTGTTTGACAAAGGATGACCGACGATGATGATATCGGAGATGGAGACTGCGATGGGATCGATTTTAAATGGATGCGCAATGATTCGGATTCCGAGTCGGAGGAGGAGGATTGGACAGAGAGGGAAGGGTGAGTACATCTAGATCTAGATTCTAGAAGGAAGTGAGAACTTCCAAAATTTCGTTTTATACTTTGTTTATCTTGGCCTGTCTTTCTTTCTTTCCTTCCTTCTTTCCTTCCTTCCTTCCTTCCTTCCTTCCTTCCTTCCTTCCTTCCTTCCTTCCTTCCTTCCTTCCTTCCTTCCTTCCTTCCTTCCTTCCT